ATGCAAAGAGATCCCCAGCTGAAAGCACGCCTGGCACTGCACCCACGCAGCAGCAGGACACAACCCAAGACCCCATGGTGCCCCACTCCCACCCCAGCACGCGGGTCCTGCTCGGCTGCCAGGGACATGCCGCACGGCAGGAATGTGGGAGGCACAGGAAAAGGGCTCAGGCTAATCATCCCTCACCTTCCCCAGAGGACTTTGATCCTCCGGTGCTTTTCAAGCTCTCCAGCAGGAAAAGCAGCCAGTTCACAGCTCAGACAGGGAGGGGACACAATAAAAAACTCCGGCTTGGGAAGGCATTATCAGCGTGAGAATGCAGCTCGAGCCCGGCTCAGCTGATGGGATTAACAGCTTGCGCTCCCCAAAAGCACCTGTGGGTATTTCCAGGCATCACGTAGCCAGCGTGAGGAAAAACAAGCGCTGACAAATCCCCTGTCCTGGGGGATCCGAACCCGTACGAGAGGCGATGCCCTGCCCCGCGTCCCCCGGGCACAGCCACCGACATTTACCATTCATCTCACAGCCGATGAGTTCGAAGCGCAGCGTGCAGGCGCGGCGGCACATCACGGGGTAGATGCGGATGAACTGGGCGGTGATGGGAGGGTTGAACATGTTGGTCTGCATGGTGCCGTAGTCCACATTCCCCTGGAAAACCTGAAACGGCAAGCACGGCTCAGTGCCCCAACCCTCCCGCAGCCTCATGCGCGAAATCCCTTGCCCAGCAGACGGACAGACTTCGGCACCGTCAACGGCAAGAGGAGGCTGGGCCCTGCTCTCACACCCCGGAGCAGTGCATGACCTTGCAGAAGCTCCAACACTCTCGACAAAGCTTTGCAACACTTCCTGCTCCATCCTCACTCCACAGAGCCACACACATAGCGACACCTACTCCCTCCCGCTATGGCAACACTCCCCAAACCACGATAAGCAGAGATGTGGCTCACTTCTTTTTTTTTTTTTTTTTTGACATAATAAGGAGAGTCAGGACGTGTTTTCATGTGTTTTTTCCACCGTTGCAAAGACAAGAGCAACTTTTCTGTTTTTTAAAGCAAGGCAGATATTCCCAGCCATTCCCTGGGTGCTCAAAAAACAATCAGGAGACACCTCACATAAAAAACTGAGTGCGGAGAGCGCTGCGTTCAGGGGGTATTCCTGATTCGAGAGCGGGACACGCTGTCAGCTCATGCACGGTGCAGGCACAGCACCGAGCTGTGTAAGCTGTTCAGTAGCGCTTCCAGACCGTGCCCAGTTCCCACAGTGTGTCAGCGATAAAGATGTTATCTGAATGACCTAAATAAGCCAGCGCTGCTTCTTTGGTTGTGCTTATTATGGTCAATTAAACAGAGCCAGAGAGCACTGCCCAGCGCTGGAACCATCCGTGCCGTCTTGCTGCTAGGACAGTTCCCAACATGGCTTTGACCCAGGTCAGAAGCACTTTTCAAAACATGGGGACAGTTTGGGATGCAGCTCACAGCCACGCTGGCACCTCCAGCAGTGGTGGGTGAGGGGAGCTGGCATGGCCCCTGCATGGAGCATCGCAGCCCACCTTGTCTGCGTCCTGCTTCTCATCCTTGTAGAAGGTGAATTCCCGCCCGTCCAGGCTGTAGGCGACTTTGTAGGCACGGACGTACTCCGGCTGGCCCACGCGGCGAGCACCCTGCGTGATGATCCCGCTCAGCCGCATCTTCCGCAGCAGGTTGGCCTGGGGCAGGGGGAGAGGAGAGCGTGAGTGCGGCTGGGATGCACAGCCGAGCCTGGCTGGGAGGGTGGGCTCACGCTCAGTATCAGGACCAGGAAAGGGACTGCCCGGGGCACTGCGACATCCTCAGGGTGAAAGTCGTCCATCCTGCCAGACTCACATCCGAGGGTGGGCAGAAAAGGGGGGGATTGTCACTCCAGGTCCCCATCTGCCCCCACAGTGACCTTGCCTTCTCCAGGGATGTCACAAGATGCCCCTGGGTGGCACCTTGCTGCAGCAATTTAGCCCTGCCTTTGCCACCAGGAGCAGAGAAATCCCATGAAAGCAGCCCAGCAAGACCAGCTGTGGCTCCTGGGGCTGCTCTCTACACCAGTGTTTCCAGTTCCGCTACAAGTACCTGGATCCAGGGGCTCTTGTCATAGTTGCTGGAGGTCCAGGCGTTGACGATGCCATGGTTGTTGAGGCGGGCGAGCTCCGGCCCCCAGCGCTAAGGCCGAGAAAGCCATAGTGGACAGAGGATGCAGAGAGCTGGGCGTCGGAGATGGCTCCTCCTTCCATGCCCAGGAGAACTGCACAGCCTACGGACACAAGGGAGGGCAGAGTGGGGACATCAGCATTAAAGAGAGACAGTGACCAGGGAGTAAAACGGGGGGGGTCAGTCATTTGCCTCTTGTCTGGGGACAGGACAGGAGATGGAGGCCAGCACTAGAACCTGCCTGTCCCTCATGTATTCCCCCCAACTCAGCCTTCAGGCAAAAGCACACAGGGCTGAGTCCATCAGCCCCTCTCACAGCATGGAGCTCTGGGGGGGAAACGTCTGCCCTGGGGTGTGGATACAAAAAGGCTAGAAGCAGAAATTTTCCAGCTACTGCAGCATCCTGTGAAAGTTCTTTTTCCCATGCAGGCTAGCTGAGAAACACGTTCAGGTTTTTGTAAACTAAGACTTTATCTTGCATCTGTAGCTTGTTATGCAGTCTTGTTTATGGCACACTGGAGAAGTTGTTTTGAAATGGGTGTTGTAGCATTTAGCCAATTACTCTGGGAGGTGGATGGTCAAGCAACCAATTGCCTTGGCCATCCTTGTGAACCATGTTATGTATATATATATACGGATTTGTACTGCCGCTGCTGATACTGCTGCTGCTGCTCCTGCTGTTGGCATTGGTATTTTCTCCTGCACCTGAATTCTGTGTTGTTCTTCTCTCCGTCCCCGAGCATGGCGGCGACACTGGGGCTCCCCTAGAGAGGAGACAGCACCTTCCCGGGGATGGTCGCTCCGTGAGGACCAGGCTTGCTGGCACCAAGGGCAGCCAGCACACAGGCACCCACAGCTGCCCTCCAGATCCCCTAAACCAGCTCGCGAGATCTCTTCTGGGCACGCTGGCGACGGAGGCCAGGGCACTGGGGAACAGGGAGGAAAGGGATTTCTGTACAGTTGGTTCCAGGGACTTACGGACATGGCAGGTCTTCCCCAAGAACGGAGAAGGACACTTGCAGGTGTAGTCACCATCCAGGTCCAGGCAGGTGCCTCCATTTTTGCAAGGCTGGGAGTAGCACTCGTTCTTGCCTAGGAGACAGAGCAGGGGGGCTCAGGAGGTGACCCCAGAGCCACTCTCAGGGAGGAGACACCTCATTTGGTGCAGCAGGAAGGGAGAAGCATTCCCTGAGCAAGGATACGGCAACATCCCTGCTGATACGGTGGCACAGGTTGAAGCTCTGACCCAAGGAGCCACCTCAGCCTTGTCCCCGCTGACTGCAGACA